TTTTTTTTTTTTTTAAATAGCAAGTTATACGAAAGAACTACAAGGAGGCCAACTGGTTATAGGAAAACAAGACTGGTGAGATTATTAGAGAACAAGGAGCAAGTCACTTAAAGAAGCAGAAAGAAATTCAAAGTTTTCCGATTCAGATAGCCGTCATTCTATAAACTATTAGAATAGAAACTGAATATTCTTAGAAGCAGCATCCAGTTATACTGATTCACCTTTTAGGCCAAAAGAGTGGGGAATATAAAAAATTCCAAATACTTCAGAGAGATAAAACTATTATTTGCCACTTTGAAATGTTATTCAGCAATTAAGATGAGGGTCAGAATATACTGTCTCTTTAGTGATAATTTAAACTCCTCCTTGGAAAGGTTTTCATTTATTACTAACGTGTGAGGAAAGAGAAAATCTGGTAAAAAGAAAAGTTCAGAGACTGTTTTCTGGATAAATATTTCCACTGAAACAGTATCTTTAGAAATCACAGTTGTATATCTCAATTATCCCACCCCCTTTTGCAATTATGTTTATTTGTGGTCTTTGTTCTGACATTCTAGCATCTGTTCATGGGTTTTCTTTTGCTCTTCCCAAGCATCATCCTAAGGACAGCTTAATTAAGAGTCTGCAGTACCAGTCAGATCTCTTTTTTTTAATAGTCAAGTGGCGTTTTTTTCTCTAAAACTAAGTACTTACAGAACACTTACTATGTATCAGGCTCTTGCTAGGCATTTTCACATAAATTTATTAGACCTAACTCCTTATAATGCCTCTGTGAAAAAGGCACTGTTAACCCCCTTTATAGATGAGAAAACTGAGATTGATAAATTGCCTTGGCTTTTTGGTCTTAAAGAAAAATAAAGCTGGGATTCAAATTCACATCTTATGACATCAAATGTAGAACTATTTTCCTTATATATTTTCTTCATGTGGGGAATACAGCTCCTGTTCTGGGTATATCATAATACTAATAGGTCACCTGGCTAGTTTTGTTTTGTCCTAACAAAATTAAGGATATTAATTAGGAATCTTTAAATGCCAGTACATTTCTAGGATAGACTCTAAATTGTGTAGTGGGACTGATTTCATGCAAGCTGATGTGTTATTATTAAATAATGTCTAGAGTAAACCCTGTGCGTATATCTGTTTTGTGAAATTATCAATCCTGATCTTTCTTTATCCTACTATGGCACAATTCAGAAACAAAGTGTAGTAAGAATCTAAATGTTTAGCAAAGCTACTGGAATTATGATTTAGCTCCATTTATAAGAAATAAAATGGAGTTGGTCGGCAGTTTTGATGGCTATTTGTTTAAAGAGTCTGTTTGGTTTTCTATAGAAAGATCTGAACGAGACATTTTAGCTAATGAATCAAAATCAGATATGTGGTCATTATTGCCTGATTATTACTCCATCTGCTCTGTGCTAACGTGAAAATCAATTACTGTGTCTCTTTCCCACTGACAGCGTATGTTGATCGGGCTGGCAAGAGATCTTCGAGGGATTGCCTTTGCACTGAACACAAAGACCAGCTACACCATGCTGTTTGACTGGATGTATCCTTATTACACTGTGACAATACCAGCTCTGTGCACAGAGGGATGCCAAGCCCCTCACTTTCGTTTAATAGTACGGCACAGTAGGGAAGAGGAAACAAAGCTAAATGAACTAATGTGTAATCAGCTAAAAATTACAGCACAGTGGCAACAGTGCAGATAACTGAGCACATTTGGAGACCCAGCTCAGAGAGGCCACTTTTTTGGTGGCCTTCAAATATTGACAGCTGAAAAATCACTTCCCTCAAATGATTGTTTATGTTAGGGTTACAGAGATAATCTAGCTAATATCTTTACTCAGGATCCATGAATCCTGCCCTTTTGGGGGGAAGATTTGAATCTCTGCTCCATCTCAATTAGCAAGGTTGAGAAGGTCATTTTATCTTTTTGAGGCCTAACTAAGTGATCATGATTTCTTGGGGTGGGGGTGCTTTGTTAGTTTAGTTGGTTGGTTGGTTGGTTGGTTGGTAGGTTTTGGATTTTTGAGACAGAGTCTGACTCTGTTACCCAGGAGAGAGGGCAGGGGCATCACAGCTAACTGCAACTTCAGACTCCTCAGCTCATGAAATCCTCCTGCCTCAGCTTCCCAAGCAGCTGGGACTACCAGCACATACTACCATGATCGGCTAAATTTGCTATTTTTTATAGAGACAGGGTCTCACTCTTACTCAGACTTGTCTCAGACTCCTAGCCTTAAGCAATCCCCCCACCTCAGCCTCCCAAAGTGTTAGGATTACGAGCATAAGCCACTGTAGCTGGACATGACTTGTTATTTGTTGTAAGATTTGAATTTACCTTTGCCAAGGCTATAGGCAGGAAAGAAAAAAAAAAGACTACCCAGAATGTCTTATGAGGTAAGAATAAAAAGAGCGTAAGAGCATGGACTTTGGTGTCAGACCAGGCTTGAAATCCTAGCTCTTCGTTTACTATTGTAAACTCTGGCATGTCATTTTACCTCTCTGAGTCTTGGTTTTCTCATTGGAAAACAGAGATAATCAGGTAGCATGCCTTATTGTGACTTTAAAATAGATAGTGCACTTTGTGTAATGTCTGACACGTATTCAGTAGTTGTAAATGGTTATTAATATTTTTAAAGTATTGTGTGAAATTGTCATTGCTTACAATAAGAAATGATAATTTATTCAAGCCGTGTAAGTATTATATAATGGTTTCATGCATTTTATACACAAAACCATCAGAGCACATAAGAAAAATTCTGTAGTCTTAAAGCTAATTTACTGTTTTACATTACATTGTTTCTTTGTTCAAACACTTCTTATACAAACTTTCCTCTAAATTAAATTACAAAAGAAACTTCTTAAATTACAGTTTTCAGCTACTGTGCCATAAGTTATGGCCAAAAACAATTAATAGGGGTTCTACGCATGTTTAACAGAAAAATCTACACATGATAGAAGTTTTTAAACATTGAGTACTGACTTTAGTTATTATTAAAATCTACTTCATCAGATTTATGTGCCCAGAGAAGAGTTAGAGATAAGATTTTTCTGTGTCATTGAAGAATCACATTTATACTTTATATCAGTATATAACATATATATACAGATATTATAAATTTTTTTTTTGAGCCACAGGTGCCATCCCAGATATTATAAATTTTAACATGGGAGTCTTATAATTCTCTTAACTATGAAAGTTGAGGCATTACATACGACCCTTTTATTTCTCTGAACATAAATAGCAGCTTCCAAACTTAAAACTGTCATTTCTTTGAAAAATCAGAAAAACCTACATTTGGCACTTTATTGCTGGTGATCTTGAAACCAAGCTACCAATCAATCCTATACAGCAATTAACATTTCATGTTTTCCTCTTCAATAATTTTAACCAAGACTCGAAATTAGAAGCCTCCTCAGTGTCAAAGAAGAAATATCTGCCATAATTGATGCTGCCCCAAATTTAAAGAAAACATGATAATTTAAGTTTTTAATTGTCTGTTTTCCATTTTCTTAACTTTTTTTTTTTTTTTTTTGGGCACTTGTCTGAAATGAAACTTTTATCCAGCAGATGGCAGAAAATAGCAAATGGAAAATCTTGGGACTTAATATTTGTTTTGAACTAGAATCCCTTGTCCCCTCCATTTGACGATAGATGTTGAAGTTATTAGGATTAGGGGCAAAGGGCAAAGTGTCAGTTATACAAGAAGCTGTGTTAGATTACCAAATGGGGTAGTTTGGTAGTAGCCTTGCTTATTATAATTGAGTTTCAGTAGCAAATCAGCTTCCTTGGGAGAAGGCCAAAGGCTTTTCATAATTGTATTGACAACAAAATGAATATGATAAATGGTGTTCATTCAGTTGAGACAAGATTTATAGTTTTCCTTTGGGCGAGGGATGAAGAGCAAATATTTATAATAATAGTAAAATTTGTTTAAAAGTTATATTATTTGATAATTCAAAAAGCTTTATTAAAATATTTTAAAATACTTTAAGCAGTTGCAGGTGATAAAGTACAGATTCTTTTCAAAATATTCAAATAATGCAAAAATGAATAAGTGTATGATGGTTAAAAAAAATGGATATGAAAGTCATTTATTCTTCCTGAAATATTGATATGTCAAACTGTCAGTGATGATTCCCACAGTATTGCTGGGGAAAGTTTATTTGCCTTTTCTCCACATAAATGTGTGTTCTTTAATTTGTTATACAATCTTTAGCATTCAGAAGAAACATTTTATAAGAGCACATGTCATCTGAAAGTCAAAATGCATTTTATTTATGGCTATTATTTGATAAAATGCTATTTTGGTGGTTAGCTATTTAATTCAAAAATATTTCTATAAACACTGACTGCATTAACTGCTACACAAACTACATTGCTTATCACTATGTCCTTCCGAAACTAAATTGCCTGAAACTACACAGAAACCATCTTGATAAATTGTTTTTACCACTGGAGAATTAAAGGGGTCTCATTGATGTGCTACTTTGCCCCTATAGTGGGAATGCAACAACAAGAAAGTGCCTTATTTTTTGGTTCATTTAATCACCTTGTTTAAATTTTTCCCAAATCATACTTAAACATCTATAAATCATGTTTATAGAAAGTTTCTCATAGGTATAAAACTACAAATAATCAAAAATCAGTGTATTATGATGAAGATGCATACAAAGGGCCATATGAATATTGTATAAGGAAAAGATTGGTGTTTTTGGCAAAATAGAGGAAGCTTCCCAGAAATAAAAGTTGGGCTACACTTTGAAAGATGAATTGGCATGTGCCAGATAGGAGGGAGGAACGGTTTCCATTAGCAGTCCCTTCATGAACGAAGATCCAGGTGTTTGCATTTCTTGGAGTACCTTTAAAATAAGCTGTGAACTGGCAGGCTGTTTCTGTTCTGGATCCACATCCCCTTACCTTCTAACACTTGAGAACTCTTTTGTTGCCTTCTTATAGATTATGATGCTTTCTCCACTATGAAATCCCAAAAGGAAAGAAATGTTTTTACTCATTTCTGTTTTCTTGGGATCCAGCACATAGTAACTACTAATAACTACTAGATAGATGGATGGATGGACGTTATGAAGAAGCATAACTTCTTCATATTTTGCATCCTATAACAGTGTTTTTCAACCTTTCTTATCTCATGGGACATTTGAAGCTATAGTTAAACTTCCACAGCACGCTTACATTATTGTGATTTAAAAAAAGATGGAAGAAAGGAATATACTTACTGTGCTTTGAACCTCTTTCCAAAAAGAAGTTTTTTTGGCTTGGCACCTATAGCACAATGGTTATGGCTCTGGCCACATGCACCAAGAATGGTGGGTTCGAACCCAGCCCAGGCCTGCTAAACAACAATGGCAACTGCAACAAAAAATACCCAGGCATTGTGGCAGGCACCTATAGTCCCAGCTACTTGGGAGGCTGAGGCAAGAGAATCACTTAAGCCCAAGAGTGCTGGGCTATGACGCCACAGCACACTACCAAGGGTGACAGAGTGAGACTCTGTCTCCAAAAAAAAGAAGTTTTGTTTTGTTTTTGAGACAGTCTTACTCTGTCACCCTGGGTAGAGTTCCATGGTATCATAGCTCACAACAACCTCAAACTCTTGGGCTCAAGCAATCCTCTTGTCTAAGCCTCCCAAGTAACTGGGACTACAGGCATCCACAACAGTGCCCAGCTAACTTTTCTATTTTTAGTAGAGACAAGAGTGGTTCTTGCTGAGGCTGGTTTCAAATTCCTGAACTCAGGTGATGTACCTGCCTCAGCCTCCTAGAGTGCTAGGACTACAGGTGTGAGCCACTGCACTTGGCCCTGAAAATAATTTAATTGATGATCTTTAAAAAATTTTTATAGCACGTCTAAAATACTCTCATGGACACCAGTGTGCTGTGACATACCTGCAGAAAATCACTGCTATAAGGCAATGTCATATGATTAATGCCTTTTCTTTTCCATTCATGTAATATGAACTTTAGGAATTCATTGAGAAGATAAGGTGAAAACATTAGATCTCTGCCTCTTCTACCTAAGGCCTCCCACTCTTTTCCTCCTTTCCATGTATATGTAGTCCTCACAAGGCCACGGGAAAATTAAACTCCTAGATTGGGTTCTGATTCTCACCCTATAATCTGAGCCTGGCACTCTCGCTCTGAAGCCCTTTTAACCTCCCTGCTTAGTAGACCTCTACTCTGCTTTCCAATAATCACTCATTTTCTCTGTGGCAGTCACCTCTGTCAGAAGCATATTAGAATTGGCACCTCTCTCATTCCACACAGAAAAGGGAGCAACTCCTCATATCCCCTGGCCTTATGCCATAGTGAATGCAGTGTGCTCTGAAAAATAGGATAGTCCAAAGTACCTTCCAAGTGCCTTGCAAAGGGGCCTGCATGTGCCTCTCTTATTCTTAGGTTCTGAGATTTGGATCTTTTCAGCTTTCTGATGAGCCTTAGAGTTGCTTTACACTAATGATCTCTGGGTTTATGATCAGGAGATCATATGGTAGAATATTTTCTTACCTGTGCTCTTCTGGCACTGCTCAGAATTTTAGTAGTTACATGTCTGCCCCCCGGAATTGAGCATGAATCCCTCAAGAATGAAAGCCATATCTTTCTTAATTCTGGATCCTCAGCCCCTAGTACTTAGTACATAGTATCTCCCATCTATCAAAAATTATGGCTTTTCTTATCCATAGGAAAAAAAAATACAACAGCCAAAATAAAGTTAATAATCAAGCTCACTGCTTTTATTTGTTCATTTTCATGCAGCTGAAACCTCACTCCCATGTATATACTTATCACCCATTCCTGCTGTATTTTCCTTTATAGTGCTTTCTAACATATTGTATATTTATTTCTTGTGATACTACAATATAAATTCCATGTAAGCAGGAATTTGCTAATGTCTTGTTTACTGGTTTCTCCAGAGAGCATAAAACAGCTCTTATTATAGAGTAGGACCTCAGTAAATATGTATTAAGGAAATTGTTTCCATATATGCAAATATAGCCTTCACATGGTATCTCTAGTAAGAGGAAATGTTGCTTTCTGTACTTTTAAGAGGTATGTCACTCTTAAAACTATAGAGGGCTATGTGTATTTTCATTGATTATTATGTAAACTATTTCCTAAAGCCTCAAAGTAAAATTTACACTTCAAAGAATTAAATATGTAGGTAGTTCTAATCAAATATGTTCCACTTCATTTTTAGGTTGCAAGTTTATAGCAACAAATATTTATTGAAATCTACCTGTACTTGTACATGGCCCATGCATATAATAAATAATAGTAAATATAGGAGAGAGAGACAAGTGCTCCATAGCCATACACAAGGGTTCCATAGCCATACACAGGTAACACTCCTAACCCAATAGGGAGGGATGGGAAACAAGTGCATGTGGTGGTGTCAGAGAAGGCTTCATGAAATAATTGACTCCTGTATTGAAATCTGAGGGACAAATAGAAATTAGCAGGAAGTTGGTAGGGTCTCTGCCCTTTATCTCATTATCTAATGGGGGCAAACAGGTAACACAGCTAACCAACTCAAATACTCACTCTGTCTTTATAAGAGGTGTATTCGCGAGTGTTCATTGAACATAATGAAGCAGAGATTGATGCCTTTTGACAAAGTAGAGAAAACATCCCATGGGAAGTGAAACTTGAGCCAAGTATTGAAAGACACAAATGGGTTAGACAAAAGAAACAATATAAAAAGATATGAAGATGAGAGCTGGCATCAGTGGGTTTGTAGGGAGTTATGAATGGCTGAATCATACAGCAGAAGTGTGAAGAGATGAGGCTGGAGGTAGTCAGGCCAGAGCTTAAAATGTCTTTTATGCCATGCTAAGGAGTTGGAAGTTTATTTTAAGAGTTAGGAAGAAAATTACGGTGACTACCTCATTATGGAGGTTTCTACTCATACTACACAGAAAAAGAACATTAATTGATTCAGCTCAGCATTTCCATCTGAAACAAAAGGACAAGTGCAATGGAAAACATCAGAGAGACACTTGAGGTTGGAAAAAAGAAAAGTGGAATAAACGTGGTGACACAGATTTTCAGTTTTGGGCCTTAATTCTGTATTTATGTTTCTATTTTGCAAGGAGAAAGCCAGCTGTGAATTAAAGGGTCAATGAAGCTAAGTCAGAGTTTTCCAAGGTTTTAGCATAGATTTGTCAGAGGCATCCACTTCTCACTATTAATAAGGATGTTTGAGGATTTCTCTCTTCTTTTTTTTTTTGCAGTTTTTGGCGGGGGCTGGGTTTGAACCTGCCACCTCTGGCATATGGGGCGCTGCCCTGCGGATTTCTCTTTTTGTGTATGTTGGACTGTCTTTCATTAACACTTACCTTAAGTGGATTAATATTAATAGTTACCCAAAGATTTTCTTCAAGCTAACATTCCAGATGTTCTTTGGCGCTACAGCAGGACCAAGCCGAACAAGTTAACAAATTAAAAACAGAGAGAGAATGTATTGTTGGAATTTAGAATTAGACAGTGTGGGGGGTTTTATTAACTATTTCCCTCTACTTTTTATGTATGTTTAAAATTTCATAATATTTTTTCTAAGTAGTGTGGTACCCATGAAACTCTGATAATAATAGCTCAAATATGTTTTTATCCTAATTAGCTAAATTTATTTTCCTTTCCTAAAATGTTAAACATAACTAACTCTTTAAATGTAAGAGTATTTATACAGTAGTCTAAGAATAATGCAATATAATATATGTGATATGTTACAAATAAGAGCAAATAGCCGGCAGCCCCCCAAATTTAAGTATATCTGTACAGGGTAGGGAAAGCAATTTATAAAATTGCTATTGTATAGTATAGACATTGGACAAATGTAGATTTCTTTTTTTCTTCTTAATTGGCGCTAATTTTCAGGAATAATGTTTCTTTACCTTTAAATTCTTTTTTAAATTTTTTTATAATTTATTTTTTGGGATTCATTGAAGGTACAAGAAACCAGGTTACACTGATTGTACCTTTAAATTCTTTAACAGACCTTATAAAAGGTACCCAACTTATCTTCCCATTCTTCAGAAGGCTATTGAACGGTGGTATGCAGAGCCAGCTTGTACGACTCCCATCTTGAAACTTATGGCAGAACTGATGCAAAATAGGTAAGCAGTAGGACAGAGAGTGAATAAACAATCTATTATTGGCAGAAGACTCCAAACATCAGACTTTTCCTTCCCGAGTGTGTGTTTTCAAAGCTTAGGAAGAGCCTAGGAATCAAAACTTAAGATAATCAGTGAAAACAGTAAAATTAGAGACAAAGGATTGAGACTTTCTGGGAGAAAGAAGTATAATATACTTAGTTTTATATGGGAACTATGAGAAGTAGAAAATAAATTGGAAGACCACCCTAGCCACCATAATTTGAAATATTCAAAGGCACAAAATGAAGGTGCAGCTATTTTAACTATTTCACTGCTTAACTACAATTCTATGGAATTTTAAGCAGAAAAAAAAGTTTAGAGGTCTCTGAGTTGAGATACTTCATTTGATAGACAGGGAAACAGTCCCACAGGAATTCATAGGCACAAAGTTGTCTGCCTCAGGAGCTCTTGGGATTGTCCCTGCTTTCCATTCTAAGTTGTGCTTCTTCCTTTCTGCCAAGGTGCATGTATTTAGATGATTTATATACTGAGAATATTCACTGAAATAGCAACTGCAACACTTCTCAGAAATTGCCTGGTTGACCTTGTAATTTGCATAGACCAGCAGAGATCCAAATACTCTGCCTATAAATATTAATAAAGATGTAGCTAAAAGAGAAAAACTCCTCAATAAGCTAATTGTGTTTACCTCTTTAAAATATGTCATTGTGTATATGGCTTAGTACCAAATTACCTGCCACTTGGGCATCTTATTTCATCAATTCCTTTTTGTAAAACTGCATGTTTACAGGACAGCTATTTAGATAGGGAAGGACCATGGGTTGCAGCTCTAATTTTATCTCTGGTGCTGAATTTTTCACAACAATAATTTAGAATTTTTACCCTAAAACAAGAGATGGAAAGAGACCTGGCAAATAAATGTGAGTATTATTTTTGCTGTTAGTTTTTTAAAAGATAATCTTCATAGGTACCTTAAATATTTAAGGAAGGATGGCTTTGTATTTTGTATTAGAAATTTAGTTTGCTGTTTAATTAAATGATAATTTTTTAACCCAGTAATTGATATTATGTTACTGACATAACATTTTAATTCTAAAGGAAAAAAATTTGTTGCTTTCTATATTGTAAAGTATTTTATGTCTACCATATAGGCAGATAATTTTTATCTAGCACAATTGTCCTAAGAACTAGTGAAAATCTGTTACCTCAGAAAATGTTATCTTGTCTGTATTTCTGTAGAATCTAATATGAATTATTTGTATACATTTCTTTAATTAGGACTCATATGCCAACAAATGTTCATAACAATATTTCTAATAGATTATAATTGTAGTTAATACTAAAGCATTTTGTAAAAGCATGGAGAAGTAAACATTTATTTTATTCTTGGCAAACAGGACTTTAGCAATGTCTTTCCTTTTTGTCATTTTCTTTGCTAATCCTTTTAAAACTATGCCATTATTTCTTGAAAGCCAAAGTGATGTTTACAAAACAAATATTATGTCAGTATGGCACAGAAGTCCTTTTCCTTATTCTTACTGCATTCCCCAGTGGAACCAAGGAAGTAGAATTGTTCTCAGAGAACTTCTGAAATTTGTTTCTTTTTACTTTAGTATGCAGTGGAAACTATAATCTGTAATGTAATTTAATGTGTTTAAAATACGCTTTGGAAGTAGCAAGATTCATTATGTGAATCTCCTATTTATTCATTCATTATGTAAATCTACTATACGTGCAATGTTAAAACTACCTGTATTTCCTATTTATCACTTTAGAATTTGTCTTAAAAATTTGTCTCAGATTCTGTAGTAATACAGAATGTAAATACATATTTCTGTCCAACTAGTTATACAAACTTACACATAAACTGCTAGGCTTTTTTATTATTATTGTCTCCAGCCACTTTGCATGAAAAGGAGAAGGGGCAAGAAATCTGTGATATATGATGTTAGAATATTATTTTAACAGATAAAAATGAACTCTAAGAATCAGCAAATAAGTGAAAATAGGTCTTCTAAATTGCTGGTATCTTTATAAAGAAAAAGTTAGCAAACGTATTATATCAACAGTTGTTGAACAGAATGACAGTTTAAGAGATAATTACACTAGTACTACTTCTAATAAATGAAAATGTTGGAAATAGTAAAACTGTATTTGGTTTTTTTATCTGCACACAGTCTAATTTTTTGCTACATTTCTTAGATCCCAGCGTTTGAATTTTGATGTATCGTCTCCTAATGGAATTCTTCTCTTTAGAGAAGCTAGTAAAATGGTTTGCACTTATGGTGAGTATTTTTTTCCACATTTGTCTGTGCGATATAGTTTTATCTCTTTGGAGGAAAGAAAGATGTTAGTTATTTTGTTCTTTTGAACTTTCATATCTATGTGAATTTGTGAAGTGGATAATAGAAGTGCAAAAAGCCAGGTAGCTATCATATTGGCACAGGAGAAGTAAACAGCATGCCTTTGACTACAAATCACACCTGACCAAGTTGCTGATAAAACTGCAGTGTCAATAAGGCAAAGGTAATACACTAGACAGAGTATTGAAGTTACAGCATACTCAAAATTGCTCAGCTATATCAAGGAGTTTGCTATCTTGAGTGAAGGAATGCTTAAACCTGTATGTCACAGAATTTTGGGAAAATGCCCTTGAAAAGAGTAGTTAATATTTTATTATAGGGAACCGTAGGGCACTGCAGCCCTAAAAACAGAGTTTACTTACAGCCCAAAAATTTTAGATTGCATTAATGTACACAGCTATGATTTAATTTAAAAAAAGAAAGGATTTTAGAATATAGTTAGCATTTTGGACCTTACAATTACCATAAACCCTAATACTTGCCAATTCTCACAGCTTTATCAGAGAACTTCTCTACTATCTGAGACCTTTATGTAAACAGAGAATGGGGTAGGATGGATAAAAATTTTGTATAATCTAATTGGGACTCCCCGACAGAATCTCAGCTGAGCTAGGCTCTGTACATTGCACTGCATCTTGAGAGGTGTTTTCCTGTGTCTTTTTCTCTCGTCTTTGTCTGTTTACTTTCTCAAGTCAGCAGCAAATTCTAAGTACATTTGGTCTCAAAATTTGCCTGTGATTCTCATTTCTTTTTAAGTACTTACTTAGAAATAGATTTTATAATATTTTGTCAAGCCTTATTATTTTAACTGTATGTGTATAGGAATAACCATTAAAAGTATACTACCTTTAGAAAAGTAAAAGTTATTTCTTTTTTTCAAAAAAAGGGACAAAAATTAGTGTTTTAAGTTATTTTTATTTCATCCCCAAAACACATTCTGGGGGCTCTGATATATACATTGTAGGCCTCCACTTAAAAATGCTTAGTCTTCTTAGCAAAGTATCTCAAGAATGGAAGAAAAAGTGTCCAATGTACTCTGCCCCACTATGAAGCTAATTTATAGCTTTCATATGAAAATTGTAACCCAGTTGTAGCCCAAGAATATGGGGAAAGGGGAGAGAGAGGGGAGGGGCAGGGGGGAGGATGGGTGGAGGGAGGGACCACGCCTATGGTTCATCTTAAAAGGGTACATGAGCCGGGCGTTGTGGCAGGCGCCTGTGGTCCCAGCTACTTGGGAGGCGGAGGCAGGAGACTCGCTTGAGCCCAGGAGTTGGAGGTTGCTGTGAGCTGTAATGCCATGGCACTCTACCCAGGGGGACAGCTTGAGGCTCTGTCTCAAAAAAAAAAAAAAAAAAGGGTACATGGGAATCTTTCTAAATGTAGAATATAAATGTCTTAGCACAATAACTAGGAAAATGACATGGAGGCTATGTTGACCAGTTTGATGACAATATTTCAGATTGTATATAGAACCGGCACACTGTACCCCATGACTGCATTAATGTACACAGCTATGATTTAATTAAAAAATAAATAAATAAATAAAATAATTTTAAAAAGTTTTTTTAAATGCTTAGTTTTAATTGCACATTTGATTTGTAGAATTTGAGCTAATTAGTATGGAAACTACAAAACCACTTAGAGTCACTTACTTTCATTTTTACCAACAACTGCATTACCATAACCTTTGTATCTGTTTGAAAGGTGACACAGTAAAATCATACAAAGCTAAAATGCTTTGCCTCCTACAGGTAAAAATAGACTCCTTTTAAAATATTATAAATGCAATTTGCCATACTTTCAGTGGATATTTAATTCCTGTTAGTGTCTTACCATACTAACATATATTTCTCAACCTCTTTCCAAAAATAGCATGACATATTAGAAAAAAGCACAGTTTGGGGAGATTGAAAGATCTGGGAACTGGGCAGAGTTTGGAGAAGGGGTGCTCAACGGTGGCAAGAGGAAGCCCCTGAAATAGCCTAGGGAGCAAACAAAGGAGATGGATGAGAGAAGGCATTCAAGCAGAAGCAAAAAAGGAGACTTGAGGAGCTAAAATGCGTAGAACACCACAGGGAAGGGCCCTCTGGCCACAGGTGAAATTAAGAAAGCAAAAAGTCAATTGTTCCTATGCCTGAGGTGATGGTGACCCTTGATTCCACTCCTATTTAAATACTTTTGACCTTGGATTTCACTCCAATTTAAACATTTTTTGACACCTGTAGCTAAAATGAAGTGTTGTCTTGGATTTTATTGCACATTTAAGAGTGAACTTTTGTTTAAAAAAAAAAAAATACAGTGGCTCAACCTCTCTTTACTTCTTTTCACTCAGCATTTCTACCTGAGCTGTGAATTAAAGTGCAACCAGCCCAGAATCCTGCTGGAGTCTGCTCTTTGGTCTTTGTTCTGCCCTAAATCCTATAATACCTGGAATTAAACCACCTCGTGGAGGAGGGTGGATCTAAATATTAATTCTAATACCAATGCTTACCAACTGCATGACCTTCAGCTAAAATACTACACCTATGTGTGCATAGTTTTCTCATGTACAAAATTAGGAATAATAAATACTTCCTGGCTACCTGCCTGGTTAGGAATAAGGGGGTAATTGGGCTACTCTGGGTGAAGGGTCTGATATGGGGAGTAATATGGAACTCACTGAAGGAGCCTCTTCTTGATGCAGGGACTTTCTCTTGTACTCACCAAGCTAGCCTTCTTTGGATGGGGTCACCTGCCCACATGTTTGTTTTGTTCAGCAATGCCCCTACTTAAACCACACTGCCTTGCTGTCTCTACCTATAGCCAGTGCTGAATTTTTATTTTCTTGCTTTTTTTAAAGGAAATAAACAGTGCATGTATAAGAATCTCTTAGTATAGAGCTTTATCCGAATGTTAGATTCCTGATACCAGTCACAATTTAATATTCTTGCCCCTTTTTCTGGATCATTTCTTTTATTACCTATATTTTTTTCCTTTGGGGTTTACTCACTATTACAGTGAAAAGAGAAGTTAACTTCCTCTTCCTGTATCATGGGCTCTCTAGGACAGAATGTATGTCTGGCAAGTGACACTAAAAGGAATCTCAAAGAAAAATCTATGGGCTTCAAAATCTATTCAGTCCCCTGCCAAAAGTTGAGAAAAATAACTATGCAAGGATTACATTGGAGAAGGAGGGCCTAGAAGACAGAAGGGGAGAAAAGAAAGGAAGGGAGAAAAGTGAGATGGGGGGCGGGGGACCATGACAAAACCTTCAAAGCATTCTTTAGAAGAAAAAACAGTAAGGAGTTTTCTTACCCTGAAGAAAGCCAAGGAGATTAGAGTAAGGCTCTGTCTGCTCTTCAGTTTAGACTAATAGTTTGTATGGGCAGCTTCTGTTTTTTTAATCAGCTCTTATGCTCCTATAGTAGACTGTTTATCATATACTAGCCTGTTGAATCCTCAAAATAGTTATTACTACTTGCCACTCACTAGTTATATGACCTTGGTTAAGTTGCTTAGCCTCTCTAGCTTCAGTTTCTTGTTAAACAGAGACAGTAATGCGTACCTTATAACATCATTGTGAAGATTCAGCTAGGTAATATATGGAAAGCTCTTAGAACGGTCACAATGGTACTTATGAATACTGTTGTGAAAAAATTGAAGCTTACAGAAGTTAAGAAATTTTCCAGATATGACGTGGCTAGCAATTAGTTGAACTAGAATTTCATTCAAAGTCACTGTGACTTCAAGCATGCTTAGGAGTGGACCCAGGAAGATTGTACCTTGGGTATTACGATGAAAAATGATGAAGCACTGTTCTTTAAAGTATGGGGATGTATATCCCAAAACTTAAGGGAATTCAAAGGTTCAGTGGAAAAATGTGCTTCAACTGTGTCACCAGCAATGTTGACTCGTGTGCTTTACATGCAATATTAGAAATATCACCCTCCACCTGTCCCCATGCTATTGCTATCAGCCATTCTGATTTGTCTATCTTTACCTTCTACAATGCTTTATTACCCATGCTTTTACCTCTGGAAATTGTTACATGCTTATTGGAGGGAGGTCATGTGGTTGCCTTCCCAGAGTCTAGAAGGTGAGAGAAGGAGAGATTGAAAGAACACAGAAAAGCCAGTATTATTTATTTCTTTGGTAAGCCAAGGTGAAGGAAGGGAAAACCCATGGAGGAAAAAGGCCAGAACATTCTGTGATCCCTTCTGTTTCCACTCCTTCTGAGTTTTTTCCTCTGCTCACCTCTCCTGGGCGGTTTTGGGGTAGTCGATGACTAGGGCAGTGTAGACAGGGAAGGACTCATTTCTGAATGAACCTGATTTGTTATACATTTTGTGGAATACTTCCACCTTGCTGCTCTATGAAACTGGCAGAAAAATAATACTTTTGATATGCTGTTTTATTTATCTACATTCTGTCATGATATACTTTGATGTAAGTTTTTAATTTTGCTTCAGCTCTCAGCTGCTCTTGCTGTTACAGCTCAGGGTCAGCAATGAGGTTAGCCACAGTAGCACAAAACAATTTCCTGTTTGTACAGCCCAGGTAACATTTGGATGAGGATTAAATTTTACCACATTTTCTACTAGCCCAAGCCTATTATTTCTAATGAGTTTTAAATTGCTTCAAGAACATGTATTTCAAAACTTAGTGCTATGATCCATTCAGCCCGAGCAACTTAATAAAAGAAATTTCTTTCTTAAATTTTTGGTTAAAATGTTGCATGCAGTGTAATAAATGTTATTACTTTGGAAACCTACTTCTCAGTTTTAAGAACTGGATTTTTTTTATGCTCAATTTTTGTTCATCTAATCTTTCCTTCCCTTTGCCTCTGGGTCTTGGTATCTTTAGTGACATCTGTTGGTTGAAGAGTGCACAGAAGGGAGAAATAATGATTGTTTTCATAAGACTGACCAAAATGGAACTGCTTT